AAGTAAATAAACGGCAGACAGAAACGAGGCAGGCCGAATCTTCTTGCGTTTCACGCATGCGCAGTACTGGAACGTAAGCGTTTTGGGCCGTTTCAATGTGGACGCACAACTCTGAAAACGATGGTGTGGATTCGTTTTCAAATCTATCCGGGCCAGTGTGGACGTAGTCTCAGTGAGTGCAAGGTGCTCAAATCATCACCCCTCCACCACCATGCCTGACACTTTACATGAGGTGTTTGTGCTGATATGCTGTCTTTTAGTGTTCACCCGAAAACATGAATGACAGCCAAACGACTGGTGACCTGTCCAGGGCGTACTTCGCTTTTCGCCCCACCCGCCAGCCTCTGTGTCCCTGAATTGGATAGGTGCTATTTCACCTGGGATGAGTTTCAGAGCCTTTCTGATAATAGATGGGCAGATTGGCACTTGTTTGATGAGGCAACTATTGGCCTGCACTACAGCTCTATGCAGATTTAGGATTTTAATCACAGACTTTTTATTTATTCTATGTGTCTCTCTGTCAAATCAGTGTGCAGAGCTTGTTCACAAACACTACCACTTATTTTTACCACTTCCTACATGCTTTAATTAGCTCACCAGCTACTCCCTGGTGCCGTTTGCCGCTGCCCAAAAACAACAAAATTGTAGCCCAGCAGTTAAACAATGGGCTTCACTTCACTGTAAAGCTGAATGGAGCCTCAGATTCAGCTGAATGTTTGATTTAACGCTGCCATTCGATTCCTCCTCCAGCAGCTTTTTCCTAACATGCTCTGTGTCAGTGAGTACTGGCCAAGTATGAGCACGGCTTTACACCCTTCAGTTGATTGTATCCGTTCTCCCATTATTACAGCTCTTCAGCTCTCACTTCCATTGTTTTGGAAAGTATTACGTACACGGGAGGAAAACCATTTTTCAAGCTGACTGCACGAAGCAGGCACTGATAATGTCGTCACGAGCAACACTGTGATTCTGCAACAGGAAGCCAGAATTTCCACTCGGTCCAAATGGGTCATAACTCAGACACTCCACTAGCAAGGTCAAGAAGTCTTAATTGACCTAAGACCTCGGTCGTTCCCGCCCTGGAGCATCTGAGCTGCTCCAAGCCCTCCACCTTAAGCGATGGAGGTTTTGTGTCTTACCAGGCGGGGGTCCGTGTGAAGCAGGAAGACTCTGGTTGGGCTTAAGACAAAACACAGCGAGGATCACAGGTCTGGGCAACAGCTGGGGCTGTTTGAACGTCAGGTTCCCAGAAGCTTCGATAAAAGCCAGGGGTTCCGGTTATAGTTCAGGAGCACAGATTGTGTTTGTGTTGCAGGTCCAAGCTTTTTACTCCTGCATTGTTGTTTCCAGATTACGGTCGTAGCTCTGAAAGTTTGAACAGGGCTCAACGAGCTGCTGAGCGTGATGTATAAAACACAAATAAATAGTGATAAAAAGTAAACTGTTTGGATATTTGATATCTCAGGCGTTTACACAGGAATAATAGAGTTTGGCCTAACATTTACCTTTGGATGTTTACTCCACTGATACACAGTGTTATTGTTTTCATAAACAGGGCGCAAGTAGAGCCGCACAATAGAAACACAGAAGTGAGAGCACCTACAGCAGTAAGAGCTTCCACACAGCGCTCAACAATGTGCCACTATTCTTCCTTTCAGGCAGGAAGTAAGCCTTAATGTGGCTTTCCTGGTCACAACTTTAAATTAATAATCCAATAAATAAATGCAATATTAAATGGTGTGACCGGAAAGTAACTCCTTACTTTCCCACCAGTGTCGCCCTTCAGGGGTAAACTGGTGCCAAGTTCTGTGTTCAGAGAAACCCAAAACAAAATACATAAAGAAGGAGGATTTCTGGACTTGTATACACTTTTTATTTTAATCTTTTCCTCTTTGTGTTGTCTGCTGTGGATCAAAGCATGAAATTCCATTTAAAATTATGTCTCGTGAAGGAAATATGAAACACAGATCCTGATTTTAATAAGCAACTGAAAGAACTCTGTCTCATTTTCTCTGTCTGCCCCTCTCGATGTGATTGAGATGAATCAGATAGCGTAGCTGCATTATGTAAGATGAATGGAGCACACAGTAACACACATACACTGCAGCATCACGTTCAAAGCCGACTATAGTACTGACTCCGCGAGTTGACATTCGTGTCAGCCTTCCTTAGCAGTAAAGGAATTTTCCATTGACTTGGGGTGAGTTCCAGATTTTTTTTCCATGTCTGCGCTGTTAAATAAAACCAGCAAAGGTTGAAGAAGCTGAGGCAAAGCATGGGAATAATGTTTCCTCTTTATTTGCTTTCTAAGAACAATGAAATGCTTCTCATCAGCTCTGAACACAAATGTGAAATGTGCAGTGTTTCAGATTCTTATCCATCATGTGACAACATCAGGGAGACATCTGACATCGGACAACAAATGGTAAGGTGCCCACATCTTCGGCTTGTATTCATACATGTATGGTTTCCTACTCTTACTGAGACCTCAAAGCGCTTTTAAAACGATAAAACACAAACTCGATTATATCTCATGTAAACTCGCACAGCAAATAAAGCTTTAGGGGCCGATTTCAAAAGAGTCGAGGATCAAACCTTCTTAGCAGACAGCAGCTCGACATCCTGAGCCACACCTGCTCACAACAGAGGCGGCCATGCCCAATCCAGAATGAATGGCGTTTTGGTGCGGGACATTCAGACCCTCTTTAATCGTAGTAAGAGATTTGGTCCACATCACTGGCAGGATATCCAGCTTGTGGTTGGACTCTGTCAGGCTGCCCTTTGTCACCGATTCTGTTCATAGCGTTTGTGGTCAGAATTTCTTGGCACAGCCGGGAGGGGGTGGGGGTCACTGGTTTAGTGGGTACTTTCAGTCCACTTAGACTGCTTCCCACTGTGTGACCGACCTGGATAAGTGGCAGAAAATGGATGGATGAACATTTAGTGTAAATATGATTGTTCTTTGGCACCTTTTACAAAAGAGATACAATATTTTGGGGCTTTTTTGGATCCATCTATACAAATTTAAGCCGTTAAATGATGTTGGTAAATGAGCAAAGTGAAAATGTAAAAATGTAAATGGAAAAGTGTCTGAAATTTTGAATAGTTTGACCGAGAGGCAAACTTGTTAAAGACTTTATTCCGTGATTCTGAGCTGAATTCATGATGACTCATAATGAATAAAAGAAAGAAGAGAGAGCGAGAGAACAGATGTTACACAAAGGACAAAGACAGATGAGAGAAAGTGATGGAAGGCAGGATGAGAGATGGATGAGTCCCAAGTATGCAGAAGCAAGAGAGGAAAAAGAAGGTGTTAATCCCTCTTGGGCTGGTGGGAAGCAGGACGAGGTGGCTGGTTAGTGTCACAGCCACGACTGCCAGCACGATCCCTGAGAGTCACACATTTGTTAAGCTTTGGGTTGTGCTACTTTATGAATTGCACCTTTAATCTTAAAAATCATTTAAGAGGAAAGAAACTAAATTTGATGAATCCATGAATAAGAGACTGTGGATCTGGGTTTAATTATGCTGATAATGATCCATTTTCCCTTCTTGTTTCCTTAAGTTAGTCTGTAAGTCTCATTTGTAGAATGTAAATAGATGAATAGATAAATGCATAATATTTAAAAAATGACTTACTAACTAAAAAAGCAGGTTGATGTGAAAGCTAATTGCACTGACTGCCTGCAGCCACTAACCCTGCCATGCATTATTATAGAAGACATGAAGACATTATTACACAGGGGCACAAAAATTTCTGAATGAAATGTTGATCTACTCTATCAGTTCTTTACGAGCATTCATTCCAGTAGACAATAGCCATTTTATGATCTTCAGCTGAACCAGTGACGGAAGTCTGTTAGGGGTAGTTGAGTAATGCTAACATGGTGCCAACCAGGCTATCGACGCACTTTGAAACCAAACATCCTGCCTGAGATAAACCAAAGTCCTTCTTGAAGCCATTCTCACCGCTTAAAAAGCCTCGGGGCACTTTTTAGGCTTTTTAGTTGGGCGTTTATGTCTTTTATTACCAAAATGAATAAAAAGTGTCAAAAGATGCTGAGAAATTTTACAGACTTTTGCTCAAAATAAGATTTTTCATCATTTCCTCCGGAAATTAAACTTCTACAGTACCGCAAGAATTGATGCTTCTGAATTCACTCACATTGTGTTTGCATTTGCAACAATTAATGCAAAATAGTCTTTGCCCCTTTAGAAGATATTTAAACCAGCAACACGAGTTGATTCCGATTGACTTTTTATTGTAAAAGAACAATATAATACCATGTACAATATAATAATAATAATAATAATACAAAATCTGTACATTCTGTGGTTTTGCAGTACATTTGGAAGACTGATACAAAACAACTGCAACAGGGAGGGAGGTATTTACACGTGTAGGATCTGCCTATTGAGCCCAGCGGCTTTCTGTCACAAAAGATACAGGATATAAACGTGTATTGATGCAAACTCTTGTGCAGTTACAGTACTTTTGTTTCTTTGAAATCTTACATTCTCAAGTAAAACAAAAGCGTTACAACAGAGAATGAAAACTCCAGTGGTGTTGAGGCCGATTTCTAGTTCAGCACAAAGGGAAACCGGCTGTACGTAGAGACTTGATATTTATTTATTTAAAAATTTCTTTTAGTGTATTTGATTTTTTGACACCAATACACTGACTTGTATTTTCAAACCTTAAAAATAAAGGTTTGCCTTGAAATGAACTCTTGTGTTTAAGATGAAAAATCTGGCCCATCAAAAGAACTCGTCAGTGTTGCTTTTTTACCACTACATGACCACCTTCTTCATTACACGGGTCCAGATTACGGCTTGATGAAATGGCTCCAGATACAGATAATCGACATTTTAAAAAAGAAAGAAAAGAAAAGAAACTGTACACGTTTTTGAAAAACAAACCTTACATTAAACGGCCTAAACTTTCTACGTTTTCTGTACCAAATCTAATTGTTTTTTTTTTCAGAAACATAACTATAATAATAATAATAATAATAATAATAATACTCTTTGGCATTGTCATAGTCATTATCAAAAAAAAAAGAAGCAACATCATAGCAGCACTTTTAAGAACATTCAGATTCTCATATTACCCCAGTCTCAGTTTAAATTAATGATTTCTGTCAGTTTGATGTCGTTAATACTACCCTGCTCGGCTCTCTTGACGCAAGCAGGCATGTTTCTATCAGTCTGACCAGCTCAAACATTTTCTGCAAAAGCACAAAGCTGAGAGAATCAGTGCTATCGAGTCAAAGGAAAGTTCTCTACAGGTTATTGCAGGCGAAAACTGCATTCAGTGACATCTGCTATGAGGCCAGCTCATGAACAAACAACGTGTACCTTCTTTGTTCCAGACATCCGATTTCTTAACTCTTTGGTTCTGTGACAGTGTCAAAATGAAAGTGTTTTAAAGGGTTTTTTGTGTAACTTCCACTTTTTCTAGCAGCACTAGAGAACTTAAAAAAACAAAAAAACAAAACACCTTTCTGAAAGAGCGTCATTCTCGCTGGACAGAGCAACTGAGACATGCCTGCAGTTTTCAAGTCATTGCAATAGCCTCCGTCCTCTCTGCAGTCACCGGACACTGAGCACACATTCATGGGGACTTGATGGAGAATTCATTCTGCGATATGCACATGGTTCATAGTGCTGTGTTTTGTCATGCTGTATGCAAAGTTCAAGCAGACTCATCAGGACAAAGTCTTACACCTCACTGCCACTTTCCACAGCAGTACCGTTTGGGTTGGCCTCTAACTCTAACCCAGCTTGGCTCGTAGTGCCTTTTCAGAGCAGAGATGCGACTCTCGGAAAATCTCTCACGAGATGTCTTAACAGTCATATTTCGGACTCTCGTCTCAGAGGCCGGGGCTCTAGAGGCACCATGGCTTGGTTATGTTCGCTCTCTGAGATGTTGTCTGTCTGAGTGCCATCAGGGCCGACGCTGCCCCCGTTCCCCTCGTCTGTGTCCTCTTTGTTGTCCAGAGCCATCTCGTTTTCGTAGCAGAAGGAGTTGGAGTTGGAGAGAATGAATTTTTTCTCTGCCAGGTCTCTGGCGCAGCACAGAGGGGTGCTCGACACCTCGTATGTCTTATGGAAGCGGGAGTAGTCCACCTTGTAATAGTTCTTTTCCTCGAAGAGCACGGGCTCAAAGCGATGGCCCCAGAGGATCTCGCTGGCGACATAGGAGCTTCGGCACTGTGTGGTCATCGCCGTCGCCTCGACCATGCCCTCCAAGATGACTACGATTTCAAACTCCGAGTTCTCCAGGTCCTGTTTGCTCATGTCATAGAAAGGGCTGTCCTCATCGATCTCGTGTACAATGGTGATCGGGGAGACCAGGAAGATGCGGTCGACTCCGCTGTCAAAGCCCACATCTATGTCCATCTGGTCGAGGGGGATGTACTCTCCCTCCGCTGTTGTTCGGGATTTGAGAAGCTGGGCTCTCACATGTGCCTCGACCAGGTGGCTCTTCCTTAAGTTGCCCACACGCCACATCAGACAGAGCTTGTTGTCCCTCATGGCCACTGTAGCGTTATGGCTGAAAACCAGTGTTTCATTCCTCTTCTTGGGCTTTGCCATTTTTGCCATGACTGCACCAATGATGAAGGCGTCAATGATGCAGCCCACAATGCTCTGGAACACCACCATAAAGACAGCCACTGGGCACTCCTCCGTTACGTATCTGAAGCCATAACCAATCGTCGTTTGAGTCTCAATGGAGAACAGGAAGGCACCAGTGAAGCTACTAACATTGGAGACACATGGATGGTCATTATTTTCTAAGTCCCCGTGAAAGATGGCCACCAGCCAGAAGACGCAGCCAAAAAACAGCCAGGACAGGAGGAAGGCCAGGCAGAAGATGATGAACATCCACCTCCAGCGGATGTCCACACATGTGGTAAAGATGTCAGCCAAGTACCGCTGACCCTTCTCGCTCACGTTGATGAACTGCACGTTGCAGTGACCGTCCTTCTTTACAAATCTGCTCTGCGGCTGGTGCCTCGTGTGCACCTTGCCCTTGCTGTTGCCGTTGGGTACTGCCATTGTGGCAAGCTTCATGCCGTCCTCCTCTGATGACACAATGCTGTAGCGGCTGGCTCGCACGCTTCCCATCACCTCAGTCTGGGAGGGCTGTGCTGCTTCTGCTTTGGAAAACAGTCTAAGTTTCTGGAAAAAGCGTTGGAGAAACAGTTTTGAAACACTTCTGGGACCAACTCAGAGAGGAAATGGTTACAAAATGAGGCGGGCTGAAGGGATCCCTCTTCAGCCTCACTGGCCTCTGGATGCAGTGCAACAAAAGGAGGGTGAAGTGGTCACTCCTCTTTCATTGGGCGACTGGGCCTCATCAATGTCAAGTGCTACAAGGAAACAGAGACAGAAGGTGTCAATTAGGAAAACTAGCATCCAGATACATAAAGGTAAGTGAGCCTGCTGAACATGAAATCCCAATAGCTTGTCAGACGTGCATGCAGCCTGAGAAAAACCATCAAGAACTTAATACACGGGGCCAGAAAAGCTCACCTCTGTGCCAACAATATTTCATCCTGTTATGACAAACAACAACAGTGATATTTAACCCTCATCTAACATTTCAGCTTCCACTGAGAGAGGCCACACAGTAATTGCACTCAGGTCCCGTTATTGGCCATTTACAAAGTGGACTTATTTTTCTTGGCTGTGCCATGCTGACCTGGTCATTTCTTGCCAGACTGCGGGCTGCTGTGTTTCTATGGGATCTCGTGCTGCTGGTCTTGCACTGCTGATGGATTATGTAAACTATTTACACTGAGAAAGCCCAGATATGCAAACTATTTTCCTTCCTCTCATCCCTCAAACAATATTCAGCAAAATTTGAGCATGCACAACAACCTGCGACTGAAAATCCCCCCTCCCAAAAAAATAAAAAATAAAAAATCAGACGTAGATGCATCTAGGTGCTCAGTGAGGTGAAAATCACCCGAGCTGTTTAGCTAACGCAACTTAAAGTTCATTTTATTATGTACTACTACCATTATTATGACATCATCTAGCTAGTAAGAAAGATTTTAAGGTTTCAAGGAGACACTAAATGTGTGAAAACATTCAACTTGATTCAGCTTTCACCAGGTCAGTTTCAGGGTGGAAATTTGTCATTTTTCGATAGGTTTTGAGGAAAAAACGTGTGCATAAGAGACATGCAGCTTGTTGACGTTCAGAAAGCCCTCAGGGGTTTCTCCTCTCTGCTGCGATAACAGCTGCCCCACGAGGATTTTCTCAGCACAACTAAAACACCTCTCATTAATTTTCCTAGCAACAGGGTCTATATCGACCTAGCACTGCCTCCAGTGCCCTGTTATGTTTTTTCTGCGTTTGTTAGGATCGATTTCTCCTTGTGGCATGAGGCTTTAAGATGGGAAAGAAGTTGGCAGCAGAGAGCAGAAAGTTCCTCCGGGCCTGGAGGGTATCACATGCACCCTTAAAGCACAGAATATGTTGCCACAGCTGAGTCATACTGAAGTTTCACACCTGCAGGATGTTTAACTGGCTGATGCAATTTGGGCTTTTACTTACTTTGATTTAACTTCAAAAAAACGAGAGAAGGCACAGTTGAGTAAAGTTCAGCCCATCAGTACATTATTTAATGTGCATGCTGATTGCAGTGTAAGCTGCACTGTTGACCAGTGTGTATTTTTTCTTCACACGGTGGCTTAAGTGCGCAGTACAGAAAAACTGCACGAATACAGCGTGTTTTCCTTTTCTCATTCAAAACAACCGAATATTTAACAATTTTTAACTATTTTAGAAAAAAAACAGTTGTACAACATTTCCTGAATAAGTAAACTCAAAATCAAAACTGTTGTTTTATTATTATTATTGCTGTATACACTTTTTTTTTAGCCTTTTAAACGTCGCTAAAAGAGTATCTAATCGTAAAGAGGCGGGCAGAGCTGCTCTCAGGCTGCACCAGATGCCAGCGACAAATGTTAACAGGTGCGAGGGGAAAAAAGGAGCTGCCTTCTGATGCAATCACCCGCACAGAGACGGACAGACCCTCAGACTGACAAAGACCCGCAGGTTTCGCTTCAACCGCAGCGTCACACTCGGGACCTCAGTGTGAAGCTTGAAGCGGTTATGACATGATAAAGTCAAACTTTTGGCGGGCCATCTGACTTCTGTGACAACAGAGAAGCCAGGGAGCTTGCGTGTGGAGAATCAAACCATCACACACGCTCCTCAGACATGCGTAAAGCACCTAATAAAGCATAACATCTTACATTAAAGCGCAAGAGCAGTAGATCTGTACAAGGAACGACTTAAAAGAAAATATCGTCTCATCTACCTGTTGCTCATTTGTAGACCGGTTGGAATCACCTCGGTGAAATAGTAATCCAGACTTCCTCTTGGGTTTTTGGGGGGGCTTTTGCGGATTCTTTTACAACCAGCGTCGTCTCCGTGCGTCTGCTTATTTTCAGTTTTGTATTATTATTATTTTGGAATCAACAGGATAAAACCACAAACCTTCTCTCATCTCTCTGGAAGACCGGTCTCTACTATGTGCTTCGCACTGAGTTCCCCCAAAGCATTTTAAACAGTAGCGCACCGGCACGGCCCGCCCACCGGCTCCGCGCCCGGCCAATGACTGGGAGGAGGGGGGGGCGAACGCGCACCGTGGTAGAGGCGTAATAACTCGCTGTTTTTTCTGTCATTTCGAGTGTTTGATCCACGCGAGCGATGAGAACAGGACACAACAAGAAGGAATGGCGAGCAATTACACTGTAGCTGGGCCACGACGCGATAAATATAAAAAACCAGGGGTGAGGGCGAAAAGTTAAAACACGAAGCGGCATAAATATAAATATTATTTTCATGGGTCTAGAAAACAAAACGTCCACGTGGTACATTTGGATGAAGTTTGCGGCTAAGATAAATGCGTTAAAGGTGGTGTGCAACTACTTTATCCTAGTAACACAAACAGAAGAAAATCCGTTTTTTAATCCCTTTCAAACTCGAGGAATCTGGGACTTCCACGCCTCTTCCCACCTGCTCCTGACAGTTTGCTTGTCATTCTTTTTTTTTTCTGTGATATTCGCTGTTTTCTTAGATCTTCTTTTTTAATGTGAGTATGGAAAATGTGCTCTGTTGGAAAGAATGACTCACTCAATAAAGGCCTACATGCCTGTATTATGATATGACAGTCTTTCTCCACTGAGCTATCGAGTTGCTTCGGATGTTTAGACTGTGCATCTGTTGCCCTATAATTTTAGGTCAGGCTCGTAGTTGTGCTGCCTTAAAGCCATTGACTAAATCATTCTTCCTGCTTACTAATTCATGATAAACATTACCCGCAACTGCGTGCTTTTTCACCAAGCCTTTTGTTAGTTTTATTTTTAGTTCTGGGTATTTATAGCAGCGCATATATTTAGCCCAAACCACCTGTGTCAGTGAGCTGTGCGCCCTATGTGTGTTTGCTTTCCATGCCCAATTTCCAGCAATAAAGGGAGCGACACATGCAGCGGGTCGGTGCTGCATGTGGACCACAAGGTGGAGAGCTGGAGACTGGAATTAACCACACCAGTGCCTCCCACACAGAGAGCTCTGAAATGTGACAGAGGGGAACTCGGGCTGACCTCTTCAAGCAGCTTTGTGTCACGGCAGCACCATGTCTGGAGAATTCAGATGAAATATGTAAACACGGTAGAGTCTTGATGTTAATTACAACGTTTTGACATCAGTAAAGACTAGATTTTTCAGCCTTTTGCACTCCAATGCTTGTGTTTTTAGCCTTTTAAACTAATGCAGGACTGAGAAGGCGCTGAGATTTCTGAGCCACTGGCCAATAATGATTGTTGTTGGCCTTTTTAATAGCCTGAGAGGGTGAATGGAGGGCTACAGCCTGGACAGCTCACCAGTTCATCATACGCAGCCACACGCGGTCACATCTACAGCCAATGTAGACTCACCAGTTATCCTAACGAGCATGAACAGTATCCCCGCTTTAAACCATCAAATTGTTTTATGCAGAGAATAAACATGATATAATTCATTGCTAATCTTCGAGCTGCTGGTTTTGGTACCAGTGGACAGAGTCATGCCAGCTCTCATGAACTCCTTTTTCCAGTTGTGTTCCTGATGTAAGCTAAATGGCTGCTGGCTTCATATTTACTCTGCTCTTTGTGTCTCTATTATAGTCTCTAATCATGTTTCCTAATGTGGACCCACCACAAGCAGGAACAAAAGCTGGATCTTCAGAGCTAACATTTGCAAAACTGCTTTTTTGCATCCTTAATGCCAAGAGTAAGTAATGCATGTGTATAAATATAGATCTGAATATATTTATTTCTGTAGGAGTGATGAGTGCTGTGTTGTTTTGTTTTCCAGTACACTCTGGGTCCAATTTTCTGTCTTTAAGCGATTATACAGAGAGAGACTGACTATGTGTGGAAGTCTGTTTGTGTTTTACTGTTAGCCAAGCTACTGTTAGCCTCTGTGCTATAGCTGAGACTTGGTGGGGAGTGATATGGTCTAGCTTCATTTAGCAGATGTTAGCAAGTCCTCTGTGTCCAAAGACAACTGTTAGCTGTATCTCACCTGCTCTTTATAATGTATTTCATCTTTTAATAGTAGATTTATGTTTTTATCACACAGAATACACACATGGAAGCTGATCATGACGGGGCTATATGTGACAAAGAAAATGCCCAGTTGGATACAAGTGTCTTCATTCAAGCTGTGGCGGTCCTCCCTGGTTCGGCTAGCACAGGCGTGTGTCTGCTATCCACCAGAGCTCAAACACATGTTTGAACATATTTTAGAAGGTGCAAACTCTAAAAAACTAAAACCCATGGGAGCCAGCAGGCTTTAGTGTTAAGTTTAAGATAAAAATAGAGGTAACTAAATCAGTTTTCTTGGAATTTAAAAAAACAAAACATGATTAGTTTTGCAGGAGATGGTCTGTATCTCATTGTACAACTGTACAGTGACAATAAAGGCATTCTATCTATCTATCTATCTATCTATCTATCTATCTATCTATCTATCTATCTATCTATCTATCTATCTATCTAAACTGTTGTGCAAAAGTCTTGAACCACCCATTTATTTGTTTTTGCTATGGAAATGGATGCAATGATTTATTACAGTGTGCAAGTATACGTGGAAATACAGTAAACAGAGTTTTCTACAAGTCTAATGACATTGAAAGTCAACATTTGGTATGAGCAACTTCATTCTTCAACACAGTCTAAACTTACTGAGACGGCTTTCTGTTGGCAACAAAGCAGGAACAAATTGGTTCTTTGCCAAGTTGTCCCTTATGGGCAGAAACGGCCCTAACCAATCTGGCGCCCTAGGCAAGATTTTAGGTGGCGCCCCCCTACATCAGCAGTGTAGTGTAATGTTGTAACAAATAATATTTCTATTAAATAAGCTTTACTTTGCATTTTAATTAACGTGGGATTATTTTTTGTATTTAGAAATAATAGTACCAACTTTTTTTTTTTTCAACATTTGTGGCACTGGCGTGGCGCCCCCTGATGGACGGCGCCCTTAGCATTTGCCTATACGGCAAATTAGGTTTCCTCCAAACCTAATTCATCCCTTCCACCTACCTTCCTCTCGAACTGCCTTATGGAGATTAGATCATGGTTCTCCTACAAACTTAACAGTAATAAAACAGAAGTTTTACTCGTTGGTACAGCCTCTATCTTAACCAAATTTCACAGTTTCTCCATTAATATTGACAATTCCCCCACCCTTCCTTCCCCACAGGTAAAGAGTTAGGGTGTCATACTTGACAGTACTCTCGCATTTCAGTCTCACATTAATTACATAACCCGGTCTGCGTACTTTCACTTGCGTAACATTAACCGACTTCGTCCCTTCCTTACTCCCCATGCTGCTGCAATCTTTGTCCATAGTCTTATTACTTCCTGGATCAATTATTGCAGCTCCCTCTTGTTTGCTCTCCCCAATAAGTCCCTCCATAAACTTCAGCTTCTTCAGAATTCTGCAGCTCAGGTCATAACTCGTACTCCCTTAAGAGACCATATTACCAATTCTTCAACAGCTTCACTGGTTGCCCATAGAAGCCAGGATAAGCTTTAAAATCTTAGTTCTCACGTTTAAGTGCATTCATAACCTTGACCCTCCTTATCTCTGTGATCTGCTTCATATCACCACAGTTTCCCGCCCACTCATCTTCTTGTTCCTTCTGCTCGTCTCATCACTGTGGGGCACAGAGCTTTCAGTCGCTCTGCTCCTCGGCTCTGGAGCTCACTTCCTTCCATCTTAACAAATATAGATTCCCTTCTCTTATTTAAGTCACAGCTCAAAACCTACTTGTTTAAACTGGGTTACTCGCTTTAATACAGATCCTACTTGTTGTCAAATCTTGTTTATTTGTTTTTTTGTTTTTATTTGTTGTTGTTTTTTCATTTTAATTAATTTTAATCTACTGTTTTATTGATATCTTTTTCTCTTTGTAAGGTGACCTTGGGTTTTAGAAAGGCACCCTCAAACAAAATGCATTATTGTTATTATTATTAGAGGTTTCCTCCTGTAAAAAGGGAGTTTTTCCTTCCCACTGTCAGCAGAGTGCTAGCTCATAGGGGTTCGTCTGATTGTTGGGGTCTTTCTGTTTTCTCTGTATTATTGTAGGGTCCTTATCTTACAGTATACAGTGACTTAAGGCAAATGTTGTTGTGCTTTGTTGCTATACAGATATTAAAATATATATTTTAAATTGAATCTCACATGTTTATAGAAGCAGAATGTCAACCAGTATTCAATTGATTTTGTTTGGTGTTTATTTCTGATATAATTTTCTGATGTCCGGTAACCCTTCTGGGGGGCACGTGCCACACCCATTTGTAAAATCCTGGAAACACCTCTGCTCATATTACATGATTTAAGTTCTTTATATTTCTCAAAATTAATCTCCACTTACAGACTAGATTCCTCTATGTTCTCCTCCTGCTTCTTTCTGCAGGTAGTAGCATAAAGTTTGCATTATTCATTATTGCCATAGGAAGATGGTACACCTGTATACAACTCGAACTCATGAATGATGCATCACATCTTTATGGTGCTGCGGCATCTATACAGCGAGTGATGGGTGTGGCTGGAGTTGTCAGATGCTGCACAGAAAGTAATTATACTGTAGATGTTTTTAAGCCTCTGTCCAAGGGAGAGTTGTTCATGTTGCTCTTCACATCGACCAACTTCCGCACACGCCGCTCGTCAGCAACACTACAAATTTACTTGGACTTTCTCTTGATGCTGAGAATTATAATTCTCTTTAGTCCCTCCTTTAAAACAAGAATGTGGCTTTCAAGGTACTCTGTGTATTGTGTCAACATCAAGGATCATTAAAAGCCATGAAATTAGTGACTCATTGGTTTCACTGTAATAACAGTGTATGTTTAGCTATTCTAATAACAAGCCAATCAAATGTCCTTATGCAGTGAGGTCAGTGGTGATCATAAGACAGAGGGGGTCAGACAGGCCTGTAAAAACTAAACTGTGGCCGTCCTGGGGGCCTCTGTGGGATGACGCCGTTCATCTGAAAACAAATTTTGCTTCAGTTGCAGATGAGCTTCCAAATGTGAAGTCAGGCTTTATTTACAAGCAGCTGCAGCCAAAAGTTCTGTTTCATCATGAAAGGATCAGCGTGAAGTGTTACTGAAAGTTTGTGACGTTATTTCAGTTGTATTTGTTTTGTTTCAAGGGGAAAAAAATCACTGCGTCTATAAATAGATGTTTAAAAAGACCGGCCAGTGGGTGAATTCGGTCATCTGGACAATCCTGTGCTTCAGCTTGGGGAAGACTCTGTTCTTTTCCAGTGCACAATTCAAGCTCCATGGTGATATGGTTGGATGAGTATAATGTGGAAGAACTTGACTGGCCCACACAGACCACAACCATATCAAACACCTTTGAGATGAATCAGCATGAAAACTGCAAGCCCGGCCCTTTTGTCCAACATCAGCATCTGACCTCAAGAATGTTCTTCTAAATGAATGAGTGAAAATCTCCACAGTATCTTCAGAAAGCCTTCCCAGAAGAGCTGAAGAGCTCCGTGCAAGATACAAACTGTCTGAAGACATCAGCAAACAAAAGCTGAAGAGTTACAGGTGAACGGTGCATCATCAGGCCCACTGAGAGCGTGCCCAGGCTGGTCGGACCCTCTAACACAGTCAGAATCTGAGTGAACAAAACTGAGCGATTGAGTTGCCTGACGGGAAGACCGTTAAAGCTGCATGCAACATCACCATGGCCTGAACAACATCAAGCGCTTGGAACTGACCAGTTTTACATACGTGATGAAAAAGAATACATGTTTTTAATGGGATTCTGCAGCGGTGCAAATCAAAGCCACAAAGCAGCGTGTGGGGCAGGAGCATCTGGTTATCGTTGTCTGTCTGGTTACTTCACATTAAAGTGACTTTCCCGATCAAAGCTTTTGTTCTCAGACACAAACCATGATCCATCTTAGGGATGATCATCAAAGTTGATACACAAACCATATATGTAAGCATCACTTTTTAAAATCTTTGACAATGGTAGCCTTTTATAATTAGCATTTTTTTCAGATGTAACAAAAATCTTCTTGGAAATACTTTTTTTTTTTCACAGTGCCTTCTCCGCATCTCTTCCTCAAATCATAAAATATTTATGCATCTGCATTTTTTTTTAACTTAACAAAAAGCAAACAAGTTTCTGTGTGTGTGTGTGTGTGTGTGTGTGTGTGTGTGTGTGTGTGTGTGTGTGTGTGTGTGTGTGTGTGTGTGTATGGGAACAAAATGCCAGTCCCCACACGTTTGAAGGCATTTTTGAGGCTCAAAATGTGGTTTTAGTGTCAGGGTTACAGTTGGGTTATGGTTAGGTTTAGGCTAAGGATTAGGGTTAGGCATTCATTTTTGATGGTTAGGGTAAGCGGCTAGGGAAGCATTATGTCAATTAATTAAGATATAAAAATGAGTTTGTTTGTGTGTGTGCAAGACAGAGAGAAAGATGGCTTGACGAGCAGGTTTTATTTAAAATTACTAAACAAAGATTCCTCCACCACAAACATAAAAGAACAGAACATTTTCCCTGTGTGTTATATAAACTTTGACTTACATCATAATATGGGATGTTACTGTAGTCACCTGCATGACTTCAATTTATTTGCCATCAGCAACGCCAAGACTTTAAACTTTACATTAAATATTTGACCTCTTGAGTCAAAGTCATATAGCCTTCCCCTTTAGAGGCTGTTCTTGATTATCTCATCCTGGCTCATAATTACTCATTTTTTAACCTTAAGGACACATACATATGATCACTTTTGCCTCATAAAAATTTCTCAGTGCAAGTTTTACAACTTTGTGTTTTTAACACAGAGTGACACCCGCTAAACCCAATCCAGTCAGCATGGTAATCAGTAATCACAGTTACGTGCTTGTGGTTATTGCAGCCTGGTTGTACCCCAGTGTAGTCGAGCGTGGATGAACTCATCTCCAGTGTTTTTCAGATAAATGTTCTGATCCTGTGAACTCTAGTTTTAAGAACTCCACCTAATAAGCGGTAAAAAATGTTGTACTAAACCGGATGCTCAGGTGCTGTACTATCAGTATTATTTTGACAATAAGCCAAACAAGGGTTTGTGTTTACACTGCATTGTTGTGCCCGTGTTTAGACACAGAAACGGTAAAAGTCATTAGTTCAAAAGTGGAAAATGTACATTTCATTCATGAAATTCCTTTGCTGCTTATACAATTTTGGTCACATGGGGCGATCGTGGCTCAAGAGTTGGGAGTTCGCCTTGTAATCGGAAGGTTGCCGGTTTGAGCCCCGGCTTGGACAGTCTTGGTCGTTGTGTCCTTGGGCAAGACACTTCACCCGTTGCCTACTGGTGGTGGTCAGAGGGCCCGGTGGCGCCAGTGTCCGGAAGCCTCGCCTCTGTCAGTACGCCCCACTGTGGCTGTGGCTACAATGTAGCTGCCAGCACCAGTGTGTGAATGTGTGTGTGAATGGGTGGATGGCTGGATATGTAAAGCGCTTTGAGGTCCTTAGGGACTAGTAAAGCGCTATACAAATACAGGCCGTTTACCATCTTCCTGCAAAATATTAAAACAAATAAAATTAAGATGTACCAAGCCACGCTCAATGGGGAAGATGTGAGGTCTTATATTGGGAGGCTTCAACAAAAGTTAGAACAATGACCTCTGTCTGCTGACAGCACTGGGTATTTTAACTGTGTTATCTGCCACAAGGACCGTCCAGCTGCCTGTACATAAAGCAAAGGGTTTATCAAGCTTCTGTGAGGTTAGAACTCCAGAATCTGGATCACCACACCGGCTATCGTCACCTACTTTTGTAAAGTCAAGTGATATTTCCAAAAGCCTGTCTATATTTGAAACTATTTATCAATTTCTCAAGCTGCACAAGCTCAAACTTTGTCCCATCATGAACACCATTGCAGGATTCTTTGATGAAATAGAATTTCACAGCTTTGCTTTCAATTTTCTTCACTTGACTGATTATTTGGCTGAGTCAGAGTTTCTTGATCCTGACTATTGTCTGATTGAGATGGTGCAACACTTGGTATAGGTTGGCTGTCACTCACAAGTTCCACCTTTACCATCGGGGGTTTCAAATATTTATCACGGTGATCCTGAGATGGCGATTGTGAAGGGAGCCGTGGGGAAGAGCTGGGTGAATGTCGAGGTGAGTGTCGTGTGAGCTGCAGTTGCTTCTTCTCTTCGAACTCCTTAGCGCTAACCAGGGGGACGTGTATCTTTTCAGTGCGATGGAACAAGTTGTAATCCACCCTGTAGCTCTTCCTGCCGACTCTGATCATCTCCTGGAACAGCTGACCCCAGAGGATCTCGTTTGGAGTGTAAGAGGTTCGCGTCTGATGCAGAATACCTGTGGAGTCATCTGTGTAGGTAAATGACACAACCAGTTCAAAGTCTGCTCTCTGCAGATCAGCATAAGTCATGGAGTACAGCGGGCTGCCAGGTTCAATCTTGTGATAGATGGTGGTTGGTGTGGCGAGGATGATGTCCTTCTGCTGGATGACCAAGTCTTCATAAGTCACATCAACTCTCCCAGTGGCGTGCATCGTACTGCGGACTATCTGGGCGGTAGCTGTCCCCTCCACCAAGTGGTACCTGCGGAAGTCCCCAACTCTCCAGGAAAGATAAATGTAACCATTACGAAGGTTGATGACAGCACGGTTGCTGAAGCCCACCGTCTGCGCCCTCTTTCTGGCCGAGGCCATTTTGGCAACAGCAATTCCAATGACGAACGTATCAATGAAGCAGCTCATGACGTCTTGTATGGTGACGATGATGATGGCATGCATGCAGTTCTCAGACATTCCTCTGAATCCGTAACCAATGGTGGTCTGAGTTTCGAGCGAGAAGAGGAAAGCGGCTGTGAAGCTGCGGACTTCAAACACGCAGGGTTCAGTGTTGGGATCCTTGATGTCTCCATTAGCGAGAGCGATAACCCAGAAGAGGATTCCAAAAAAGAGCCAGGACAGAATGTAAGAGAGAGCAAAGATCAGAAACATCACCCTCCATCTGATCTCCACCAAGGTGGTAAAGATGTCGGTCACAAACAGCAGCCTCTCCTCAGGAACATGGCGGAACATGATGTTAGAGCTGCCTTCTTTACGTACGTAGCGGTATTTGTTGGGTCGGGGTCCATTTTCGGTCTTCATGGGGATTTCATCAGTGCGGCTCACAGATGTATACTGTCTGTGATGCATCTTCCAGACGCTGCAGGGAACATATCAAAGATATCATATGCAAAAATGCAAAAACAATGACAAAGACAATAACAGATCATTCTTTGATGTTGCAAGGTGGTTAGTACCATGACTAGAAGGTTCCTGGTTTGAACTTCTGCTCGGTTTAATTGGTGACTCTAAATATTTTTAGGAGTGGATGTGAAAGTGAATGGTTCCCCATGGACTGCCTGAGATCTATCCCACCTTATGTCCAAAGTCAGCTTGGAGAGTCTTTGTAAGGGATAAGCAGTTAACAAAACGTATGGAACGATGGATATTCTGATATTGTCATTGAATAACCACTTAAGTATTTTTTAAAGGAAAGATCCAACCATAAACCATCGTTTGCATTATGGTTTTAAAATATGAGAACATGTTGCTTTCCCTGCTCTTACCTTACTTTAAACAGTATATTTGAATTTTTTTGGCCTGTTGGGCGGATAACACAGGATATTTGTGCAAATCAACTGTCTTCAGGATGTTTTTCTTTGGATTAATCTTGAAAATAGCAAAAAAAATTAAATTAAATGATAATAAAATCATTTGTTTGGGGTTTTTTTTTAAGCTAGAAAGGCTGGATGTGTCATGGTCTGTGGGAGTGCCTGGAGGGGTTTTCCTTCTGTGGCTGCTGAGCCATCCCTTGGGGGCGGAGACTTCAGTGCTTCACCTGAGCCTCATCTGCGAGCAATCAGCGGGAGACCTACTTAAGCTGACTCAACTGGCTCCTCTTCATCAGTTTGTTCTACTCTTCTTGGTGATAAATGACGTTTACCCTTCGTGGTGGTCCTTGTGTGATTTATCTCTTGGAGTAATTTCTGTCTTCCCTTCATTCAGCGGAGTTCCAACCCTGGCTTCACCTTACTTGGACAGTCTCTGTCTCCCAGCCTGCCCTCCGACCTCCACGCTTCAGCTTGAGACCCTCCAGATGCTTTCCACGGACCTATCTCCCCTCAGTGATACTAACCCGGTCTGGCACAGTAAGGCAAACAATTCTTCAGTTTCTAACGATCAAGCTCCAGTTTTCTCTTCAGACTATAACTACCTCTCCCTCTGTTACAGAATATTCCCCCGGCTCTCTGACCTCTTCCCCATTCCTGCAACTAGCCTTATTGGGCCTCACTCGTTACTTTAGGTCACTGTTCCAATTAAGTATCACTGTAAAGCACTCCTCGCCTGTGTTTGTCTGCGTTTTCGGGTCCACTTAACTGGACGAACCTTTCAGTTCATGACAGGATGGATAATCGTATCTCCCAGATCTTTAGAATTTACCTCCTAACTAACTTTGAATCAGTTCCTGACAAGAGTGTTAAAATCAACAGCTTTCTATAGTTTGCCACTTTGGACTGAGAGCTGTGCAGTTGGTATTGTAGTTAAATTGACCCAAAACCTGAGTGAAGGTCATTAGAGTAATGCAGGTCATGACAATTGGAGCCAACAGACAGACAAGCAGACGGGCAAGTCTGCAGACTGAACAGCCGCCGTCTGATGTCTGACCTAAATCAGGAGTCCAAAAATTGTGACACAAAAATGCACATTTTTGTTAAGGCTCTAATTACACTTCTGCACATGCACCTGAAATATCCTCCTTTATATTCAGCTCCATATCCATGTTCAAACTGCCTCAGGAGAGTAGCAAAGTGCTAGATAAGAGTCGATCCATTTACTATTACCATTCATAAAGACAAACTGAATTAATTTTGACTCTACTGCTTATTAGCTATTGAGTGTTTTTGGTGTCACGATTAATTTCTGACAAGAAGCAGAGATGTGATATACATAAAGCTGTTTAATTATTTAACATCCTCATTTGGAACATCCCAAAGGGCTTTTTACTGTGAGAGTAAAACGCCCGCCCTCTTCCATTTTCCACTTTCTCTTTCTCTCTTTCCAGACTCTGATGCTGGAGGAATCAATTAAGAGTGGAGGTCTCCCTGTATTGAAACATCAGTTGGTAATCTCCAAGGTTATGTCATTTGTGTGGTATTTTATAATTTTGTCTTCATTGTAGATTTGTTCTGAAGGTGTATTTTTAGGCAGCAATATGGGAATGTTTACCATGAATGATCCCACTTTTCCTGCTATTTGTGTTAATATGTTTAATCCTAATGGGGCAGTTGCCTGGAGATACAAAACTCACTGCAACAGTGCTTGCTCGAGCTGCCACTTCTTTTAGCTTCTTACTTAGTTTTTGTTTAATAAGCCATTGCTAAGGTGATGGCATTCATGCACCTTCAGGCAGTAGTGGAATAAATCCATTAAAGGCTCATCTATTACGGTAATCATCATTAGACGATTAAAAGTTCTGAAAATGCATCAAACAGAAGATTTCATGTGAATTGTGCTGTTTTATGCCAGATTAATGTCTTTTGCACATATTTCCATGCAGAGTTTTGCTGCTGTCCAAAATCAATGGCCCAAGATCCTTTTTTTTTCTGGGTGGAGGTCAAAGTACTGTCAGAGGGCCAATAAAGGAAACACCACTGCATTGAACTGGTCAAAGTTAGCAGGGGAAAAATTAATGTGGAAACTGGAATAGTGTCATGGTGCGATCACGGGCAGAAGAAGGATCAATCACAGCCAAACCACTGAGAGCATCCTCTACGCCCAAAACAAATGGGTTTTGAATCACCGCTATCTGACTGAGTGAACCGGGCTCCAGTCACAGACTCCACTTTCTTCTGGCCACAGTGAACATCCCCACTGCCAGAGCATGGAGCTCGCTCCATGAGGTCATAGAAACAACGTCCTGTTAGCTTCCCATAATCCCTTCCTAAATACCCTGATAATACAAAAAGAGAAAAGTGCAGCTTCCTACTGGAAAGTAACTGACACTGAGTTACTGATTCATTTGTAGGTTATCAATTTGAAATCTAACTTTTAGTTCCCATGTTTTTCAGAACACTAGAAAAGTGAAGGCAGTCATCGAATGTTCATTAAGATGTGTCAAACGATTCATGTATTTGATACTTTTCTTTAGTCGTATAGATTTAAGCTTCCAACAAATACTCAGTTTACATGAAACAAAGTGAAAACCACGTTCGTTACTGAACACTGGTCGTTTCAGACTTAGATACAGTAAGTCAGTCCACCACTTTGGTCCATACCAAGATATGTAAAACAATTTCAATGACTGAATAGCTGGACTGCTAAGATATTTATTCATTTTTTTTAGATATTCTTAGTGTTCAAATGAATAAATCTGACTTTATTTTGGTAATTGTGCTGCTTTTTTCTTTTAGCAGCTCCAAGTCTGTCAAACTTCTCAGTGATTCTCTGCAAGATCTCAGCGTTTTCACTGAAGAATGTCCACTCTCAGGACTAGTAGCATTCATAGGCTTTAGTACATGAGTCCTGACTTTTGCTCTCGAGCTGTATGATACACATTATTAGGTATACATACACTCAACAAAAATATAAACGCAACACTTTTGTTTTTGCTCCCATTCCCCATGGGATGGACGTAGAGACCTAAAATTCATTCCAGATACACAATATAACCATCCCTCCCAAACAGTGGTCACAAATCAGTCCAAATGTGTGGTAGTGGGCACATCTGCTATATTGAGATAATCCATCCCACCTCACAGGTGTGCCACATCAGGATGCTGATCTGACATCATGAGTAGTGCACAGGTGTACCTCAGACTGCCCACAACAAAAGGCCACCCTGGAATGTGCAGTTTTTTGCGCTATTGGGGGTCTGGGGACCCAGAACCGGTCAGTATCTGGTGTGACCACCATTTGCCTCATGCAGTGCAACACATCGTCGCATGGAGTCTATCAGATTGTCAATTGTGGCCTGTGGAATGTTGGTCCACTCCACTTCAATGGCTGTGCAAGGATGTTGGATATTCGTGGGAACTGGTACACGCTGTCGTATACGCCGGTCAAGCACATCCCGAACATGCTCAATGGGTGACATGTCCGGTGAGTATGCTGGCCATGCAAGAACGGGGACATTCTCAGCTGCCATCTGCCCTGAACAATGGGAACCACCTCTCCAACGTGCCAGACGCCATCGAATGTGAGCATTTGCCCACACAAGTCTGTTACGGTGACGAGCTGGAGTCAGGTCAAGACCCCGATGAGGACGACGGGCATGCAGTTGAGCATCCCTGAGACGGTTTCTGACCGTTTGTGCAGAAATTGTTTGGTTGTGCAAACCAATTGTTCCAGCAGCTGTCTGGGTGGCTGGTCTCAGACGATCTTGGAGGTGAACCTGCTGGATGTGGAGGTCCTGGGCTGGTGTGGTTACACGAGGTCTGTGGTTGTGAGGCCGGTTGGATGTGCTGCCATATTCTCTGAAATGCCTGTGGAGACGGCTTATGGTTGAGAAATGAACATTCAATGCACGGGCGACAGATCTGGTTGACATTCCTGCTGTCAGCATGCCAATTGCACGCTCCCTCATTGCTTGTGGCATCTGTGGCATTTTGCTGTGACACAAAACTGCACATTCCAGGGTGGCCTTTTGTTGTGGGCAGTCTGAGGTACACCTGTGCACTACTCATGTTGTCAGATCAGCATCCTGATGTGGCACACCTGTGAGGTGGGATGGATTATCTCAATATAGCAGATGTGCCCACTACCACACATTTGGACTGATTTGTGACCACTGTTTGGGAGGGATGGTTATATTGTGTATCTGGAATGAATTTTAGGTCTCTACGTCCATCCCATGGGGAATGGGAGCAGAAACAAAAGTGTTGCGTTTATATTTTTGTTCAGTGTATATAAGTTGCAGGGTGCTGCAGTGGTTATCACTGCTACATCACACCAAAAAAGATTCTGGGTTTGAATTCAGTGGCCATCGTGCTCCTTTCTGTGTGGACATTTTGGGTGCATCACCATATGCTACTAAAGCTACAGTAACTAACTGCCAACTGATTGTGGAGTACACATTCTTTCTGTAGTGAGCATCAGTTGTTGGGATTCAAGATCCTTTATTTGTCACATGCATAGTTATACGAGTACAACACGCAGTGACATGTATCCTGACACGCTCCTCGACTGTGCAAAAAGCGAGAGAACATTATATACATTTAGTGACTCTATACAGGGGGACATTATGTGCAGTAAGTAGCATTATACGCACTGGGCGCGTCACTGACCGGTCTCTAGGCATGCTTCACCAGGGTTTAGCAATAAGTGACTGCCAGCAACAACTCGCTAACTGTTTGGGAAATACCGCTTTGTCTCTTGTGGCCCGTGATTGGCAGTCAATCGCCCACCACTCTCAAGGTCTGTGTGACATGACCTTAGATTAACTGATTGGCTGTAACTGGCTGAAAGTATGATTGAGAGTATGAATGAGTGTCTTTGTGTTAATTCTGTGATAGACTGGTGACCTGTCTAGGGTGTACCCCACCAAATCCCTGCATTGGTTATGCAATTTAAAAAAATAATGGACATTTATGGTGCATATTAATCCTGGCATAAGAAAGATAACGTGTGTATGTTAGTTATGCTGCAATAGGCCTGCTGAGCATTTCCTGTTCACTCACATATTTTTATTCCCCTTTGCATTTAATCATCAGTTATTCTCAATATCTGGCTCTCTCTCTCCCTCCCCTCAGCCCATCCTCTTGAAAGGGAGTTTTTCCTTCCCACTGTTGCAAAACTGTTTCATACAATCACCCGATTGTTGCGGTTTTCCCTGTATTATTGTACAATCTTTATCTTATAATAAAAAATGCTTTACGGTGACTGTTGCTCTGATTTGGTGCTGTGTAAATAAAGCTGATTTGAATGTAAAATTTCAAATTTCAAATAAAAAAAAAATACAAATTAAAATGAACATGGTAAACATCTTGTTGGCCACGTACACAAATTGGGAAAATGCACATTAGATTTAGGTAATGTACATCTTCACATGTTTTGCAGCTACTGTTAAGAAATATTTTTTCTTCTCCTTCAGTCTAGACACCAGGACACGATGAAAACGAATCTAACAACGAATATTAAATGGAGTCATTAAAACTGCTCTTTAAGAGTAACACAAGCAGACAAGTTAAATTAAGATACTTTCATCTTGTTTCATGTGGTCAGCTAATAAATATAATTACTGCATTATTAATTTGACATTTCTTAAGGTGATGTAAGTGTTGTCAGAGTGAATTTGATCATAACAGGAAGTGGAATGTCAGGCTATGAAAAGACCTTTTAATCAGGGCCCAATGTGTTTTTAAATGTTTCAAGATACTAAGAAAAACAAAACCTGTTGCAGTCATGCGATGAATATACTGTACTGTAATCTGAGATTGCTTTGTTTCTCTAGGAAATGATAGACAGTCGTCGGAATATTCTTAGCAACGACTACAGCGGCATTCAGACAGGCCTCGCAGGTCCCTGTGAGATGTTGACTCATGAGGTTGGGCTGTTTTCACCACAACCACTTTGCTTAATTCTGTGTTCTGTGTACAAAACACAGCATCACACAGAACAACCAAAACACATCCTGACCTTTGGCATGACGTTTCCACTGCACTCAGAGTTGTGATACTTTATATTCCTGAGGTTTATGTCATTATCTTTGCAAACATTTTTGATAGCATCCTTTTGTGTTCTAAATTTAGCCTAAATGTCTAAGAATCAAAGGATGAACTCTGGGAACAACTTGGGCAATTGGCTTGTTTCCTCTCTTGCTCGGGGCACTTACAACTCCATTACATGCTCACTTACTGCAAATGACACTGTGCCACCCATTTGCGGTTCACTGAAACAGAACCGTGTATACGGGTGGCTAGCTCAACTCTACCCCGGAGCTTTCTGCCACCTCTAATGACCTTCAAAGCCTCCAATCTTTTGGGAATATTTCCAGCTCCCTTTAGACTTGCATTCAGTTGTCATTGAGCCTTGCTGCAGGAGGTTTAGTGCCTGAAGTTTTTAAATGCACAATAAAGGATGTTGGTCATTTTTAAGCAGCCCACTCCTGAAGGTTAATGGTTTATTCACGCTTCAAATACCACATAAACGAAACACGTGTTTGGATTTGTGTTTGCTTCATCAGAGACAGTTCTTCATATTTCAGTATATTTCTACTAATTTTAGTTTCTACCATCCTATTACAGTGTCATTGTTCAGGACTTCTTTTTTTTAATTGTAGACCTGGGTAATTTAATTTAAATGTGTTGTGTGACTTTTAAATTTTGCTACAACTGCACGATCTTTCTCCATAACCAGCATGACCTTTGCAGTCTGCATTCTTGCTTGTTTGAATGTTCAATAGACACATATTTATAAAACAGTCAGTGCTGCTGTGATGAGCCGTGCCACCTCTTACATTCACCTCATCTCTTTACTTTTGAAATTAATTTCCTGCATCGCTTAAAACACATGTGATGTTTAAAGTAACCCTCCAGGCAAAATCAGATTTCGTTGTGAAACACGAGTACAAGCATTACTTATCACCTTGACCACATCTCGTCATGTACTTTGTTTTTTTTAAACAGCCAGGCGTCGTGTTCCTGCTCGTACTACTGAAGCTCAGATTATCAATTGTTCTGCGTACTTCTTGCAGTAGAAGTTATTCATCTAATTATAAGAGCCTCAGGCAACCAATAGGTAACACCAGTGCTTATATAGTATACAGTAGGGAATTAGCTAAATGGGCAAAGACGTTTTACCATTTTTATCTAGTAGAATAAAATTATTTCTTTTATTCTTTGAAGTCTCTAAATCCATATTTAATGTCAGTTCCATCAGGCCTGCAGATCAGTTTGACACTCTGACACTGACATTTCTGATTAGCAAAACAGTAAAAATATAAAGACTTGACAGATCAGTTCTTACCTTTCTGTAAAGTTAAATGCTGATCAGAGTGCAGGACTGTCTGTACCTGGGTTGAGAGGTTCTCCGAGCAGCCACCTGCTGGAATGAACCAGCCCACTCGCCACTGTAAAAAACAAAGATTAACACCTCCCTTTAGCATCTTGTGATGTCACACAGGCAGGTGAGCATTTGTAATTTTGAAGGTGTGTCTATGCAGAGTAAGGAGGGCAGGAGTGCGTACATGTAGATACAACTTGGGCTTCGCACATGTTTCTGTTTTGCATGTCCAGATCAGTTAATACAATGCATACAGCTGAGTGCAAAAGTCTTGAGCCACACCTTATTCCTTTTGTTCCATTCTGTCGAGATGATCCCACACTGCTTTAATAACACTAAAGTGTTTCAGTTATTGGCATATTAAAAGAATAAGTCTCTGATAATCAGATGCTTTCCAGATGATATTGCATGGTGGATCACAAAATCACAGTACTTTTCTGCTCATTGTTCCGTTAGTTTTTGACGACGTCTCCAACACCACTGACTGAAATGCAGCCCATGACAGAGCCTCCACTGTGTTTCACAAATGCTGTTGGACCTCTCTCCTCCATACATGTTGATGATGACTTGAAACAGAAATTAAAAATTTGGATTCATCGCTCCATCAGACCTGTTGAATCAGTTTAGAGAGCATTTCTGACGAGGCTTTAGTGAACATTAGATGGATCAATTTAAGGGTCAGATATTCAGGTCTCTCAGGTTTTTGAAGAACCTGATTTTTTGGTATTGTTCATCTGCTGTAGATGGTACTTTCTACATAACTAAACATTAACATTTTATATCTGTCTAAAGACAATATTTTTTAGTTTCACACACTCACACACACAATTTAGAAAAATTTGTAAAAACAAACAAAAAAATACAGGTAAGATTAGTGCTTGAGTAACCTTGATATGCATCTGCAAGCTGCTTTGCAACCCAAGTGCACTCTGTGTCTGACTTAATCAAAGTCATATCTGTTCTCATCGATGCCTGCTCCGTTCTGGAGGTTTATACTATAGCCGTGCTGTTAGATACATCATAAATAAATGCAACACATCAGTGTTCTTTTGACTATATGTAAATACATTTCTGTTATGCATCCTGAAATGGTTTTGGTTACAAATTTCATCAGACTGATTCAGCAAGCGTGAACGGAGAAAATGCAGAACAGTAAAAACGTAGCCGCTAACCCATAACCGATGTGTTATGGGATTAGCTGTGAATTATAGGACTTGAACAGGAGGCTCAAAAAACAGTGAATAATAACAAGGCCGGAGCGGTCACACTGAGAATGTTACAGGTAAGAGTGTGAAGGAGCACATGCATGAACATCTGCTGGTAACAACACCAGCAGAAACGGTAATAATTCTAAAAATGTTGCAACAGCCAGCAGAATGTTAACTTAAATGTTTCCAAGGACGAGCTTTATTGGAGGCTTGGTTGCCATGTCACTTTCTTCACGTCATCTTTACAATCTCAAAAAGCTCTCAGCCTTTTGACTTCACCGCTCGTCATACATTTATGTCGTTATTATGCTTCAGGTGGAGTCTCTGTCTGAGTGATGGCGTGGGACCTCTACCTGTGAGGTTTGATGTTTCCTCGCAACTTTCCTTAGTTGACGAGGAATCGGTTTATTTGGTGTCAGCCTGTGAATCAGTCCTTCTCTTCGGCCTTTGGCTGTGCACGAAAAAGAAAACAATGTTTAGCTCATCCGCCTGCATTCACAACAACGAGTTAACTGGTGAACTCAGTGCTTTCTTGTACCTCTCTTTTTGAAAGGTCTAGTGTAAATTCCCTTATTCCCAGCGCTCAACTCAAACATCTAATCTCTTACTTAATAACTGCTCTGCTATTTCAGTCTTCTTCCAGGACCTAAAGCATGACTCAGGTTTCAAACAGGGAATTATTTTGCCTGCAAGCCTGTGTGTGGTGGTGGAGAAAGCATTCATAAATCTTACTTTGATTGTACATGCAATCCTTTTCATATAGCTACAAACAAATCTGGGACTATGGAAATTAGAGCCTGCTGTTAGGTCAATAACCCCCTTAAGTGTTTATAGTATGAATAGTGGCAAGTAGATGCCACAAATGGCTGAAAGACTGACTTGTGCCTTTAAGTATACCTGTCATTACAGCTAGCCTCGTGTTCTGTGCAGACGGTGGATGCTCATATTAAATGTTTTAAATAGTGAGGTCAGCGCATGGGTACGTAATCCCTATGAGCCAAAAGCTCAGGCTTCGCACTGCTCCAAACAAAAGGTAGACGTAGCCAAAGCGTTCCTACTCACTGGGTCCTGGACTTCATTTTGAAGCTTTGCTGGTGCCATGTTGTTTTCATTTGGAGTCACAAGTGACCATATTTGGACAAGAGCGCTTTGAGGGCCCCGAAAAGCGCTATATAAATGCAATCCATTATTATTAAGAGAGTGGGGTGCCATGTTCTGAACTAACTGCCTGGCTAGATGCATCTATTAGAGTCACACGTCATGCACGGACACAGATACCTGCTCATTAGTCTTAAGAAACAGATTGGAAAAATAGAAGAAGTGGAAACTTTCTGTACTGCACAGCAGCAAACACAATCATGAGGTCCAGTTCTGGGAATTGGTGGAAGTGAGGCCCACCTGAGAGCCATCAGCTACCTTATGTTAGCACACCTGTCACCACACCCCTAACTTTAAGTCACTGTCCAAACAGCTGAGCTCCAACATTCATCCATCACACAGCCGAATAGGTTTTTCTACTCTTGGCTCTGTATGATGTCAGCGAGGGCAGATATTTACCTGCTAATAAGATATATGAGGATTACTTTGAATTGTGAATCATGCAAAGCTGCTCTAGTATTGAAAAATAGGGAGCTGGAAATAAGCTCTAAGTATGAAGTACCCTTCATGTAGTTAAAAAAAATTAGTTAAAAGATGTTATAGCAGCCTTTAGTCTCAGTGTAGGGGAAACTCACTGATTTTCATATTTTTTAACCATTCAGAAAAAGATCAAATCTCCTTTATCAGACCTCTCTCACTCTGACGCACAAACGCTTCGTCAGCCGACCCATCTGTGAATACTCCTTCATTTCTGCGTCGACTGAATCAAAACACAATGATGCATGTGAGGAAAGCTTGTTGTTGGCTTCCCCCTGCAGAGACAAGACTTATCAACAGTTTTTTTGTGTGTTTTTCAAACGGCGTGATAAAACAAATCTTTTAAAAATATTTTACCCAGAAAACTGAGTTTTACCCTGTAAAAGAATGATCTTTTCCTTACTGTACCAAAACAACAGTAAAAAGTGAATGAAAGAAAATCTCCACACAAAAAGCCAGTTAGTTTGTGCCACGTCTTCTGCATCCTGTGGAAGAGGAACATGTGCTTGTATAGGTCGTTTATCATGGTAGAAAACATCATTTTGCTGGACTTTGTGGTTCATTTTGGTTGTGAACTTAACCCTCCACTGTTTTGCTGGGACAGCACTATATGTTCACTGGCTTCTGCTGCAGGAAAACACATTAATGCCAGTTATTTGACACCTGAGCAAAATCTGCAGACTCAGAAGGCAAAGTACATGAAATGACTCAGTGCTTTTATTTTTCTAGTTGGGGCACAGTGGGGGGTCCTCACATTAAATTCCTCTGGGTGTCTAAGAGTATGTCTGCCAGTTTTTCTGCTTATGAACCTGACTGCATTTTTTGAAAGTGAACACATTTTAGTGTGTGTGTGTTCCCTTGTGTCTGCGTGCATGCTAATGTTACGTGTGCATGAAGTTGGTGGGTTAACAGGGGTCTCAGCAAAATGCAGACCCATAACAAATCACCTCATTTCCAGGAAAAAGAAATAATTTGTTCCCAATAAAAATGATCCACAAAAATACATGAGAACAGTGTGCACGGGGCTCTGATCAAACGTCCGCTTGCAAAGCCAAGGCACAAAATTAAAGAGGCCAGAAAGATTTCAGGGTGTGAAATGCAGACACTGGCTGCTTTCTGAGCAGAGATGCTTCCAAAGAAGTGCTAGAAAAAAGGAAGAGATTTTCAAATGATAAAAAATCAGCCAAAATCTTTTCTTGTAGCAGCTTTAAACAGACAGACTGCATCAGAGAAAAGGTGAAAAGGGGTAGACATCATTTTCTGAATAATTTAATGTTTATTTTAAGTGAGGCTTCAGTTTTATGCTGATTTATTTATCTTGATCTTGAATTTCCCATTTAGACTAAAACATGTGCTTCTGAAATGTGCCGACTAGCAAAATCTACATTTATTATGTGATATGCATTTAAACTGTGCATCGAGAGGAAAAGCTGTTTGCTTTCTCCTCATTTTTTGGACTTTCTTTTTGCCTTTTATGGGATGTGCCTCTGGGTGTCCACTCAGGAAGTCCTGATGGTAAATCTGGCCGTGGCCCCAATCCCACATTTGTTTCCTCTGTGTGCATGTCTGTGTTTGCGTGTGTGTATCTCTTGAGCATCTGTGCAGCGTGTGTGTGTGTGAAAGATTGCATGCATGTAGTGTGTATACCGGCATTTGTGAGGCTGTGTAGTTGGCATGAAATGATTCAGAGTGTATCTTCTTCTAAAAGGGAGAATAAGCAAACAAACAGTGTTGCAGTAGGAAGCTGTTTAACAGCTGCTGAGGTTTGGTTCACTGCAGTTCAGTGATAATGACTGTTAGAGCAGGAGCCGCCGCGCTGGACATCCTGCTCCGATTTCACCTTGATTACACGTGCTTGTCGTTCATGTTCGCTACATGACTTCAGCGGAGAACGCAATCTCTCTCCTTTTCTCAGGTGGAGAATTTATTCAACTTGTACAGAAGCGCAGACCATAAATAAACATTGGCAAAATCAAGTATTTAACTCTTTAAAGCAATATGAAAACCTGAAAAATCTCAAAAGTTTTTTCAGTAATGGTCCATGCTCAAAGGCTTACGATAAGCCACCACCCACCACCATGGATTTATCACAGAACTGGAAACAAGATTTTTAAAAACTGACTCATCTGGGGGAAAGCTGCTTAGTGATAAAAGCACCAGAGAAAGTTTTCCAAGCCTCCACCACGGGGTACCCGAGCGTGCCGACATTAAAGGTGCAACCGAT